TTTATGTGAAATATTAACTTTTGAAACATACTAAATTAAAAAAAAAAAATACTAATGTTAAAACAATGATTAAATGGTTTTTTATTGTGTAAATTAAATAGACTATGCATAGTTTGATGAGTTTTGTTTTAGTTGGGTTTTATATATATATATGTATGTATATATATATATATATATATATATATATATATATATATATATATATATATATATATATATATATATATATATATATATATATATATATATATATATATATATATATATATATATATTTAGCCAGCGCTTTGGCAAACTTATAAAAAAGCGACTTCCCGAAAAATAAGTGATATTTTAAAATTGCATTAAATCTCATTTGTTTATTATTATTAAATACATTTTATGAAAAAATCATGAAAACACATTTATGTAATTATTATTTTATTTCGAATTAAAATAAAACTTTAGCTTTTATAAATATACAAGGCTATCAAACAACAGATTATAGAAACTGGTCAAAACTGTAAACCAAACATCAAGCAGTAAGATACTAGAGTCAAATTTTTATAAAATTTTTTAGGAGCAGGTCAGCATTTGAGTGATTTCTTCACCTACAGGTACTTAAAAATTACCAACGGAAAAGGAGATTCTGGTACAGTTTAAGTTGCTGTTCACTGTATTGATTTATCAAGTCTTGTGAATCATATTATTCAATCTCGTAAAATTTTTGGTGAAAATTTTGTTAGACTTGGTATTGATGGTGGTAAAGGTTTTCTCATGTTTTGTCTAAGCATATTTGACACTATGTAAAGAGTAGATGTCAGCTCACCACTTCAAAAACAACCTCTCACTGAAAAGACTGACAAAGACACTGGGGTTAAGAAACAAATCCTTGTTGTGGTATCAGAAAATTTGTCAGAAACTCAATCCAAAATTGAACAACTCTGGTCACTGATTAATGGAAATGGAGTTACACTAATTTCAGCTTGCAGTATGAAAGTTGCAAATATAATTTGTTGTCTTCAAGCCCATTGAAGAATGCCCCTTTGTACATGGTGTGACATCAAATCCTAGTGTCTGTCTAAATCTGGAAACTTCCAAACACTGTGCTCAATTTAATCTAGCCTCAAGTCACCTCAGCAATCTAGGAGGGTTGTTGCTCATGCAAAGTTTGGCAATATCATTCAAAAGCTATTCATCAGTGGGCCTGGTAATGTTCTGATTTTGGAAATAATCCTACGAATGGATAAATATTCTTTTAACGAATATAAAGAATATTTTTTCTTCAAAATACTTTGGTAATTACATAACTAAATACTTAACACTTCTTACAAGTTAAGTTTTACAATGTTTTATTTTATAACAAAATTAAAAGAAGTTTTTTTTATGAAGGATTATTTTAGATTTTTTAACTTTGTGATAAGATTTTTTTGTGTTAACAAAAAAATCTTATCACAAAGCTAAAAAATCTTATCAGATCTTAAAAAGATATTGCAATGACGTCAACTACCAAAACTGTTATGAATTAAACACCAATGGAATAAATTATCAAGTCTGCAGATTGCGGCAAACATTATACAGATTCCGAAAACTAAAAAAAAATGGAGAAAGCAAGCTTTAACTTAAATGATAACTTTAATTTTGTTGATATCTATTCATTATTTAGTTTCAATCAAAAAAATTTAGCCTAAATGTTTTTTTTAAGCATTTTCTTTTATATGAAGACAACTTGTCTTGGCAGTTAGGGATCCCTCTAAGATGAAAGCAATCAAGTAAAAATTATAGCTTTTCCATAAAGTCTGCTAATCTTCTCCATTAACTCTCTTTATATTTTGCATCTAGAATGTTTTATAAAGCAGAAATGTACACTTGTGGTTGCTCAACGGTACCAGATGACCAAATTTTGTGAAGGGCAACTAAAAATAATTCTTTGATGCAATAAAGTTGCTCGGGTGACTATTGGTTTATATCTGCAATTCCTGCTTTTTTTTAATTCTATAAAAAAAAAGTAACTAATCTAAAATAATAAAAAATAATATTTAGAAAGTCACAGTGGCAAAGTTTGTTTTCTGCATTTTATATTAACAACTAGAACAAAAAATATTTCCTGATTAAAAACTAAAAGGTTTTATAGTTTGAACAAAAATGCTATTTTATTTTCATTTTTTTTACAAATTTTATTTAAGAACTTAGAGCAAAGTAATATAATCAAATTTGAAAAAAAATACTTTGACAGGCCTTGTTAAGAGCTCACATTTTACATACGCATTCAATAGTTTATGTAAATTAAATACTTTTTTTGTTTTGAAATTTTTAAATTATAATTTAATATCATTTAAGTGGCATTTATTCGAATATATTAGGTTCTAGAAGAAAAAAAAATTAATTGCAATTGTGAACTTTTTTAAAAAAAGAGTATTTTATAATTTTTTTTATAATTAAGACTGAATTAAATCTGATTTTAAAAATTTAAATTCAGTTTTGAAGGAATGTAAAATAATAAAACATTGAATGTAAAATTAAAATTTTAAAGGAATGTAAAATAGTTTTGCAATGTTTATTAAAGAAATTCTTATCATCTGCTAATTAATTGTGTAAAACAACTCATTCCACCATAAATTATAATATGAGAAAGCAAATTAAAAACTTATTTTTCTTATAAAAAGGAAGAAATGCTTTTGTTTAAGAGAATTCTATTCACAAATAATTTTTTGTTGTTTATCAATTTATTATCATGTAAAGTTCTTTTGAAGTAATACATGCTTGCATCTTTGTTGGGGGTGAAAAAAAATATATATACAGTGCTTTTTTTCTAAAAAAAAATGTGCCGGAACTTACCAGTGTTTTTTTTTATATGTATCAATATATCAAAGACAAGGGAGAAATAAGCAATTCAATTCATACATAATAAAATAGGAACAAATAAATGTAACCATTTTCCATTGTAAAAAGATTTTTTTTTTAAATAATGAAAAGTTTTTTGTTTTTTTTTGGGGGAAGGAAGGGGAGGGGGAAGGAAGGGGGGGAAGGATTGAGGATGATAGGACACGTCACTGTATACAAAATACAAACTTTACAAAGCAAGAAACTTTTATTACAAATCCCATTGTTTTTTCCAATTTTTTTAGAAATTTTCCGCTCGTCTTCTTTTCTTGTTCTTAGTGTCTACTGCTGAATGCCTTCCGCTAAATAACTACGAATCAACGTACTTTGAAGAATCGAAGCTTGTTAGCGGTGGTCTCATTAATTTAATGAATAACAACGTTGAAACTGTTTTTTTTTAAACCCTTTACTTCATCAAATCAAACCAAAATAAAAAAATAAAACTTAATGTTTTTTTTTTTTATCTCTATGGTATTCTATTTCATGTCCCCCAAAAAATATATACTTTCATGATTTACTTGATAGATATGGACATATTGTTGTACAACAACATTGCGAAAACTGGGTATAAAAACAACACAAATTTTGAAAGTAATTTTTGGAATAAAATTAAGTGAAAAACAAATAGATATCAAGGGGCTATCAATAAAGGACTTAATCCTAATAAGGAGGGAGGTGGTCAAAATAAAAGGTACAGGGGAGGGGGAAGGTTGTTAGAAAATGACGTCACTTAAATTTTTTTTTACATGGAAAACTATGTAAGCATGTGTTTTTATGAAGATAATGTGAGAGAACATTTTAAATTTTATTTTTCAAAGTTGTAGCAGCAGTGTCAGTGTCCTTTTTTGAGGGAAAGGGGTATAGGGAAAAAAATAACCGGTGACAAAGGAGGAGGGGGAGGGAGGTGTTTAAAAATTGCCTAAAAAATAGTGACGCCCTTTATGAATGGACCCCAATATAAATAAAAAATAAATAAAATAAATAATTTTGTTGTTTTCATTTAGTTGAATAATGAAAATGTTTATACAAAATATTGGCTCTTTAACTTTTATGTTAAATATGTTATTTCCTTGTTAACTGTTGTCTGTCATTACCAAAGCAATTATATAACAGATTTATCTTTAGAACTGTTCGCAAAACTTTTGGGTTGGATACAAAAAAACCAAGTGAATATGATACTGGAAAGGTACACTTTCTTATATATAAACATTGTTGCAGCATTTAAGTCTTCATTTTTGTTTATGTGTATTTCATCTGTGTTGCTAATGATATCGCTAATGTTATCAGTTTTTATGATTTTATGTTGTTAAGTAAAGCATCCTTATATTTCAGGATAAAATAGAGCTTTGACTAATACTTTTTCTTAGTTTAAATGAATAACAACTCTCAAGGTGTATTAGCTAAATAATTTTTTTGTTTTAATAGTCTTTAGTCGATAACGGATTTTTAAATTGTTATGAGTCGACAACACTTAACTTCAGCAGAACTCATTTAAAAAGTCATGTTAAAGAAGACCAAAAAATATCAATATCTGCCAAGTAGAAAAAAAGACGTCTTTAAGACGTCTTTAAAGGTCTTATTGACAATGTGTTCAAGACGTCTTTTTTTAATCGATTATGCAAATCTAAAAGACATCTTTTTTATTCATCGAAAAGACGTCTTTTTTATCTTAATCTTGTCATGTAAAGACATAAAAAATGCGTCTTTAAGACGTCTTTTTTTAGTCAAATATGCTAATCTAAAAGACATCTTTTTTCGACATCAAAAAGACGTCTTTTTTATCTTAATCTTGTCATGAAAAGACATAAAAATGCGTCTTTAAAACGTCTTTTTTTTAAATCTAAAATCAATCTAAAAAAGTGTTTTTTCTTGGGGTCGGAACGACTTTTTTACCATATTTATTAGTATACTATAGTATCCTATACACTATAGTATTCCTACTTTGCTTATATGAAAAGCTATTTTTTTCAAAGAAAAATTATAATAGTTTTTCATACAAAGTATGACAAAAAGCTCTTTCCGATGCCGAGAAAAAATCCTTTTTTAGATGTCAATATAAAAGAAGAAGCATTTTTTACATCTTTTATATGTTTAGATATAGGAAAATAAATTATAAATAAAACAATAGTATTGTTCAACAGAATATTTTTTCATCTTTCTCTTTCTTTTCTGTTTCTTGAGAGAGCTCTGTTTCTTGGCGTTGTTGAATAAAATTAACAATTTCACGTCGAGAAATCCTTTCATTCGAGCTGGTTACGACTTCTAGCTAGTTACGACTTCTAAAAAAACGAGTGAAGATAAAAAAGAGTTTGTTGCTTGAATGTAATACAAAAAAGCATATAAAACTTGATTAGCTGAGTATCCTATATATACATTAGACTTACTGACTGTTAATTCAAAAAGAGCTGATCCTTTTAACACCTTCATGTTTCTAGCGCGGTCTTTTCATTTTGAACCCACTAGATTAGATTGGGACAGAGTCAAACAGTAAACAGTCTAAAAATATATAAAAATGAGTATGTTAAATAAATTTACAACCATCAAAATGACTGTATAACGATGCATTTTATTATGTAGTACTTAAATCAAGCTAAACATTTGCACCTCTTAGATTTCCTATGAAAGCCAAGTTATTGAAAACAGATATTGATATTTTTCTGTTTTATATAACATGAATTTTTTATTGAATTTCGCTGAAATTAAGTGTTGTAGACTCATAACTATTTAAAAATCCGCTATTGACTAAAGAATATCAAAACAAAAAGATAATTCAGTTAATACACCTTGAGAGTTGTTATTCATTTAAATTAAAAAAAAGTATTAGTCAAAGCTCTATTTTAGCCTGAAACATAAGTGTACCTTTCAGTATTATTTTCACTTAGTTTTTTGTATTCAAACAACAAATTTTGCGAACAGTTCTAAAGTAAAATCTGTTGTCATTTTGTGTATTTTTATAATTGCTTTATTAATGACAGACAACAGTTAACAAGGAAATAACATATTTAACATAAAAGTTAAAGAGCCGATCTTTTGTATAAACAATTTCATCATTCTACTAAATAAAAACAACAAAATTATTCAGATCATTTAAAAATATATATAAAAAAAAAATTGCAAGCCGACTGAATGCTTTTTTTTTTCTATCGTTCGTTTCACTGGCACTTGAACAAGTAAATATAGAGAGAATTTGTTTACAGGTTTTATTTTTCGTCTGAAAATAAATATATTATTTTAATATGTAATAAACAACGTTCTTCAAGCACATTACATTAAAAAATTAGTCTAAAAATAAATGGTAAAACTTTTTTTAAACACTTACCTACGACTAACTTAATTGAGACTAGATCATATCGATACCATCTTACTGGCACCACACCATCCACTTTTGCTTTTTCCGACTAACATTTTTTTGCTAAGCAACTGCAATTGTATATTTAATTCAGTATATATATATATATATGTATATATATGTATATATATATATATATATATATATATATATATATATATATATATATATATATACTGTAATATTTATATGCATTTATATTATGTATATTTTACATAATATATTACTGTATTGTATAAATCATTAAATAAACCCGCTTACCAAAAAAAGTTAGTTTTTAATTAAATTTCCTATGCAAAAACGTTTCACATAAAAGTTATATAAAAGTATTTTGTAAACAAAAAACGGGCCAATCAGAACGAAACAAAGATATCGTAATTACGATACAGTGGGTTAAAACCCTTTTTTGTTAGGTTCTATCGGCAATAATTATTTTTAGTTTTTTTAAGCAAACAATGATTTCCTTATTAACAACCGATTGACGTCTTTTTGATCTCTTTTTTGAACACGTCTTTTTAAAAGACGTCTTTTTACGTCTTTATTTTGGCTCCTTATAAAAAGACAAAACAAGTCATAAAAAAGACGCCTTTTATTCGTCTAAAGATGTCTTTCTTCCCACTGGGTGTTTTCAATTACTTGGCTTTCATAGCGAATCTGAGAGGTGCAAATGTTTAAATTGATTTAAGTACTACATATTAAAATACATCGTTGTACAGTCATTTTGATGGTTGTAAATTATTTAACATACTCATTTTTATATATTTTTAGACTGTTTACTGTTTGACTCCTGTCCCAATCTTACATAGTGGGTTCAAAAAGAAGAGACAGCGCTGGAAAGATGAGTGAATTGAAAGGATCACCCCTTTTTGAATTAATAGTCGGTAAGTATAATGTGCTCCACTCAGCTAATCAAGTTTCGTTTGCTTTTTTTGTATTACATTCAAGTAATAGACAGTTTTTTATGTTCACTTGTTTTTTAGAAGTGGTAACCAGCAAGAAGTCGTAACCTGCTCGTATGAAAGGATTTCTCGACGTGAAATTGTTAATTTTATTCAACAACGCCAAGAAACAGAGCTCGCTCAAGAAACAGAAAAGAAAGAGAAAGATGAAAAAATATTCTGTTGAACAATACTATTGTTTTATTTATAAATGATTCTCCTATATTTAAACATATAAAAGATGTAGAAAATGCTCTCTCTTTTATATTGACATCTAAAAGAGGTTTTTTTCTCGGCATTGGAAAAAGTTTTTTGTCATACTTTTTATGAAGAGCTATAATCATTTTCATTTGAAAAAAATAGCTTTTCATATATGAAAAGTAGGAATACTATTTTGTATATGATACTATAGTATACTAATAAGTATGGCAAAAAAGTCGTTTCGACCCCAAGAAAAAACTTTTTTTTTAGAAGTGCATAATTGATAAACAAAGACGTCTTAAAGATGCACTTTTTATGTCTTTTCATGACAAGATCAATAGCAAAAAAGACGCACTTTCGATGTCGAAAAAAGATGTCTTTTAGATTTGCATATTCGATTAAAAAAAGACGTCTTAAAGACATCGTAAATAAGACTGTTAAAGACGTATTTACGACGTCTTTTTTCCCACTGGGTCGTTTTTAAAAATAATGTCCTTGGTTTTAATTTTTATTTTGTGGTTTATTTTAACTGCTGCTTGATTATCCAATCGAGGGAATATTGATAGTAATTCCATGACGCAAAATATAATTCCGCAGTGAAGTTATTAATCCACTGGAGCATGATACAATAGAACCGTATCTATTACAGATGCCTTCTCTTAAACTACGAGTTTTACGCCGGGCACCAAATTTCCAAACTGATAACATGATTTATCTCGAAAATATACTTTCATGACATAAAATAATTGATAGAAGCATTATCATGAATTGTTTTTATTACATAGCTATACGTTAATATTTTTTTGAACCAAAATAAACAATTAAAATGTTCAAATGTATTATTAAGGAACAAAAATCATTAATATAAAGAATCTTATTTGAATATTGGAATACTTTATATTGGAACATATGTGCATGTTTTACTTAATGTTTAAGTTTTTTTTTGTTTTGAAAACTTGAAGAATTTTGAAAATAAAAAGACATGTAAAGCTTTCTATTATAATACAATCTAAATAATAAAATAAAAATTTTATTACTTACAAACTTGATTTTTTATACCTTTATATAATAAGTAAGTATTGAAAAGACGTTACACAAAAAACCCTCCAAAACCATTTTTGAAAACGACGTTTTAAATTTACATGGTATTTCTATAGCATGGGTAAATTAAAAAAAATTTTTTTGTTTACTTTAAGTGTTACTATGGTTACAGGGATCAAATTTAGTTCTTCTTCAAGTGATATTGATTTATCAGATATTTTTTGATGAGTTTTCATGGCACTTCTGTATTTATATTTCCTATAGCTTGGATGCACTCAACACTGCATGCACTCAACACTTAATCCTCTATTTAAAATCCCAACTTTTTTACCTCCATTTATTATTATTTGTTTTGATGCCCACTTTGGCCAAAACTCTGTAAGTATATGCATAAAATTTTTCCTGTCGATTGAATTTAACTAAGAATATTAGGCAGATTTAGCACTTTGGTACTCAGAGTACAATTTCTGACTGACTTGAGCAAGGAGCTGGGTAACTCCAGTTGTGTCATATAGAATGAATATTTTTAAAAATTATTTAAAGTCGAATATTTTTACTAAAAAGCTAAGAAATGTTAATACATCACAGTCAAATCTTGAAGAATGATCTTCAGATAGGACAACCACAGGCCGTTTTATATTTGTTTTTCTAAATAGTAAAATTTGATATGCACTTAAAATTTGATATGCACTTAAAAGTGTCTTGGCAGCCATTTGTGGAATTTTAAATTTCGTTTAACTGCTTACTTTGAAGCCATGTGGGCACTAATTCCCTTTTCCATGAATACAATTGAAAAATTGCTATATCTCCTCCAAAAGAAACAAAATGTATAGCCACGCATTCCTTATATTTTCTTATCATCTTTTGACAACTTTCCTTTCTCCTTGCATAAACTAAACTATATGGAGTGCCATAAACTCCATAGTTTACAAACTAAGGGGTTTCATCATGATTGTCAAACCTAATGGTACCAATATCTCTTTTCCATACACCTGTTTTTAATTAATTTGCATCAATGAAAATATTAATTTTCATAAGTTCTTCAGCTACCTCGTTAAAATGGTTATACGCAATATAAAACTCGTTAAGATGGTTCTACGTTTTTATAAAAATGCTACTTCCAAAATATTTAATTTTTTAGGCAATCTAACAGCATTATTTTCTCAACTATTTTGTCCTCATCAGGATCTTAAAAAACACCTAAGATCCTAATGTCTTTTTACCTGTATATCGCTTTTGACAAAAAATCTCCGCTTAAAATTGGTTACAAACTCTAATGGCAAAGCCATGGGTATAACTCTGTGTAAAACAAAAAATATGGTTGACAAGTTTATTGTCATTAAATTATTATTAATATTATTATTAAATTTAAGTGAAATCTTCAAGAGGCTATAGCATTTAGCTACAATCAACATACATCTGATTCATGAAAAAATGGAAAATTTATTATTTTTAATTCTCAAATACTTAGAATCTAATAAAAATATAAAGTAAACAAATTAATAAATAAATGGGAAATAATATATGGACAATAGAATTAACTCAAGACAAAATATTATTTAATTGAGCCTATAGAAACATTTTGTATTCATAACATGTTCGCAAACCTGAACATCTGTTGTTCAAGTTTTGTAAAAGATATCAAAAATTTCGTTTACATTACACATTTTCTTTTGCTCTTGCATTACTAAATCTAGAAGTGATTGGAATTTAACATAGCGTACAGTGTTTCTTTAACAACAAGCTAAGTGGACACAACTGTTTTGTTCTGAGATTTGATTGCTTAAAATTTAGTTAATAATATATTATAACATATTATATTAATAATATATTATACATATTATATATATTGAATATTTATGCATTTTTTGATTAATTGCGTAAAAAAAATAAATAATAATAATTGTCAACACGTCATAAATTATGTAATAAATTTTGAATTAAAAAAAAAAATTAATTTTAAAGACTCATCCAATAAATACTAGAAAGTAAGCATGTTATTAAAACTTTCGCAGTATTCACAATTGTTTTATGCATAGTGACAGGCATATGTTACCATGGATATAGATTAGGATATAGAGTTTGGGTTTCAGAACAAGATTTCCATACTAATAAATATCATAGCCCGATGATAGGGTGCATCACTGAAATTTTTAATCAGATGTCTAACCTTTTTTATTGTATTACTGAAATCTTTATTGAGATGTCTAACCTCGTAATCTCATCAACTAAATCTAAATTTATAAAAAATCTGCTAGCTCTGCTCCCATTATTTATAGACCCAAAGCCATGTTTTGGTTTGTTTTTAATAAGCCCCCAAATGGTTATTAAAAGTTAGCTTTCTTTCGTTTAAACTTTCTTGGACACTAGATTTATCTTTATCACTTCTAAATTGCTACTTTTTTACATCTAAGCAACAGCTAATGTGTAACGTACACTTAGAAAACGGGTTCATAAATACAAAATAGACGAGCCAGGACCAAAATGTTCTATTTTAATAAATAGGTCTTTTATTTTGTCATTACTAACTTTAGAAGTTACCCCACATCTGTAACATTTGAACTCTTTTCCTTCTATCATTGAGAGTCGTTTCTTATATGTATTGAAAAAAATACTTTTTATAAAACATGGTTAGTATCTTCTCTAGTATATAAATTGGTTTCTTTCGAAAAACTTACTATAGTAAGTTTTTCGAAAGAAACCAATTTATATACTTTATATACAAATTTATATACCAATTATAATTCTTCGGCATAAAAAAAAGTAGATGATGGCAGCAAATTTTATAAATATTGTTTAAGCCTCCAATAAATCTTAATGGAACCAAAAAAATATAAACAGAAACTCATTGATAGCGTTAGGATTTGTAAAGTGGTTTGACCGAAGCTTCCACCACAACCTCATTTGGTAATTAATGTGAACAACGTAGTAAAAGTAAGATTTTTAAGAACTTCGTATTGGGATTCAGTTTCAGCATGTGTTTCAAAATTTTTCAATTTCAAGTTCTATTTCAGCATGTGTTTCAAAATGCGCAAATTCTTAATAAAATAAGAAAAATCGTAAACCCAAAACTCTACTGTATTACTATACTATACTTCTAGCCCATTAAGTTCCAGTTTGTCGTAAAGACTTGAAATGTGTTAATAGACGAAAAAGTGTCAATTTAAAAAATAATTTTTTTTAAATATATTTCTAACATTGAATAAAATTAATATTCATATTTAGTATTTCAAATAATATTATTGTTATTACTTTAGAATATTGATTTATTTTACTATGATTCTACTTTATTTTGCTTTACTTAATCTACACTTTAACCAATGAAAAAATCTAAGAAACTAAAATAAAACCATCAAGACTTTCTTTAAAAAACAGTATATAAAGTTTTATAAAGATAAACCATTTTTCTCTTCATATATATTTTTTTTCTATATCTGTCTTATTATTTTATTTGCATTTTGACGAACTAAAATTATAAAACATTTGGAAAAACCTTTTATGTATTGTTTATAACAACTTTATTTCTAACTTAGAGTTTTTCTAATCTTTAAAGCTGCTATTGTTTTTTTTGTTTGTTTTTGTTTATATCGTCTTACAGTTTACAATTATATAAATCGTAATACACTTACATAAATCGTAATACAATTATATAAATAACTTTATAAATAAAAGCTTTACAAATATAAACAAGGTTTCTGATAGAAGATCTCATTAATCTTGTCGTCAGAACCTTTTAAAAGCGTAAAAAGCAACAACAACAGTAAAAATAAATAAGAAATTAAATATTATACAGTGCGTTATTGCATATTAGAAGTAAGTCATTATATCGTTTATAGAAAAAAAATTTTTTTTTAGTTTATTTTTAAAAAGTTCGAATGAAGTTGATAAATCAAAATTATTCAAAACAATTTTGTTGCAGAGATA